GAGAGAGTGGGCACCTCCCAGAACATTGTTTTGTGCCACTCCCAACAGAAATACTCCAGGTGGACTCCTTCAGCAATCAGGAGCTCCTCAGTTGCTCATAGCAAATCCCACCTTGGAGTTTACAAAGACTTATTGGGTAGAAAAGCCACACAAAGTAATTTACTATACCACACTTTGTCAATCAAAAATGCTGCCCCGAGAAGTGAATATGAGGCTAGTTGTAAGATACACTTTTTATTTTAATGAGATTTGAAAAAAATACTTAAAGTGGCTGCTGAAATATTAAAACTTGCATAGACTTTGAGTAGTTCGATTCATCTTGTTAGATGTAATTATTATGAAGTATTTTAACCAAGTCAGGAAACATAGATCCTGAATATAAAAACTAATATATAACATTGTGATTGAAGTATGCATCCTGCTTTTGACCTAATTTATATGCTTAAACAGTTTTCTGATGTAATTTCAAAATGCCCATGTGAGATACTATAAAGAATTCTTCATATACTCTTTATAGTCTTCTACAATTAACATTTTAACATACTTGCTTTATCATTTTGTTTATATATGTATATACTCTGTACATACTGTGATTTTCTCCACTATCTTGAGTGTAAGTTCCACTCATTATACACCATATATTTCAATGTGTGTTTTGTAAAAATAAGAATATTCTCATATATAACATGATATAATCAGCAAAATTAGGAAATTAAGTTGGTAGCATTATATTCAATTGTCAGATCCCTTCAATCTGGAAAAATTCCTTCGTCTTTCCTAACTTTTCATGACCTTCATATTTTTTAACAGATTGCTTGCTCTGTAGATTTCCTCACTTTGGGTTTGTCTGATATTTTCTCATGATTAGATTTAGATTTTGGTGGGAATATTACAAAAATAACTCTTTCCCTCCCTCCATCCATCTGTGCATCTATTGATAAACAAAAAAACAAACTCACTGCCATTGAGTAGATTTTGACTCATAGCAATAATCCTAGAGGACAGTGTAGAACTGCCCCATGGGGTTTCCAAGAATAAGAAAACAGATCTGCCACATCTTCTGCAGAGCAGCTGGTGGGTTTCAACTGCCAATCTTTTGGTAGCAGTCAACAGGTAAATGTTTTAGCTACTGTAACACCAGGGTTCCTTTCATCTATTGATGTAGTTGTTGTTTTTAAGTACCTTCGAGTTGTCTCTGACTCATAGTGACCCTATGCACAGTAGAACGAAACACTGCCTGGTCCTGAGCCAGCACCACAATTCTTGCTACACTTGAGCCCATCACCGCCGCCAACGTGTCAGTCCACCTCATTGAGGGCCTTCCACTCTTTTGTTCACCCTCCACCTTACCAAGCATGACATCCTTCTCTAGGGAATGGTACCTTCTGACCACATGACCAAAGTATGTGAGACGAAGTCTGGCCATTCTCATCTCCGAGGATTATTCCGGCTGTACTTCATCCAGGACAGACCTGTTAGTTCTTTTAGCAGGCCACGGTACTCTCAGCATTCTTCACCAACACCACAGCTCAAAAGTATCAACTCTTCTTCGGTTTTCCTTACTCATTGTCCAGCTCTCACGTGCATATGAGGCTTAATTAAAAATACCATGGCTTGTGTCAGGAGCACCTTAGTCCTCAAGGAGACATCTTTGCTCTTTACTTGAAAGAGGTCCTTTGCAGCTGATTTGTCCAGTGCTATACGTCGTCTTATGTCCTGACTGCTGCTTCCATTGGCATCGATTGTAGAACCAAGCAGTGTGAAGTCTTTGGCAGTTTGAGTCTTTTCCCTTTATTGTAATGCTGCTTAGAGGTCCAGTTGTGAGGATTTTTGTTTTCTTTATGTTGAGATGTAATCCATACTACAGACTATACTCTTCAGTCTTCATCTGTGAGTACTTTAAGTCATCCTCACTTTCAGCAAGCAAAGTTGTGTCGTCAGCATATCACAGGTTGTTACTGATTCTTCCAGTCCTGATGCCACGTTCTTCATATAGTCCAGCTTCTCCAATTATTTGCTCAGCATACAGATTGAATAAGTATAGTGAAAGGATGCAACCCTGACACACTCCCTTCTTGATTTTAAACCATGCAGTGTTCCCTTTTTCTGTTTGAATGACACCCTTCTGGTCCATGTACAGGTTCCTCATGAGTACAATTAAGTGTTCAGGAATTCCTATTCTTCTCAGTGTTACCCACAATTTGTTATGATCTACACAATCAAATGCTTTTGCGTAGTCAATAAAACACAAGTAAACATCTTTCTGGCATTCTTTACTTTGAGCCAAAATCCATCTGACATCAGCAATGATATCCCTTGTTCCACGCCCTCTTCTGAGTGCAGCCTGCACCTCTGGAAGTTCTCTGTCAATATACTGCTGCAACCGTTTTTGAATTATCTTCAGTAAGATTTTACTTGAATGCAATATTAATGATATTGTTTGATAATTTCCACATTCTGTGGGATCACCTTTCTTTGGAATGAGTACAAATATGGATCTCTTTCAGTCAGTTGGCCAGGTCTTCCAAATCTCTTGGCATAATCGAGTGAATGCCTCTAGCGGGGCATCTGTATGTTGAATCATCTCAATGGACATTCCGTCATTTCCTGGAGCCTTGTTCTTTGCCAGTTTCCTCACCGCAGCTTCGACCTCTTCCCTCAATACCATTGGTTCTTGAACATATACCACTTCCTGAAATGGATGAACATCGACCAGTTCTTTTTGTTACAGTGGTTCTGTATTCCTTCCATCATCATCATCATCATCATCTTCTTTTTAAAATGCATTTAATTGAAATATAATTTATGTACAGTGAAATACACAAAACTAAAGTGACATGGGTCAGCGCTTTTTTTTTTTCAGTATTACCTCCCCTCCCCTCCCCCCTCTGCCAACCAACAAAGAAAGTTTCCCTCCGTATATAAACCTTTCCTTGACCCTCCACAACAACGAACTAATACTATATTTGTCCTTCTGTGATTGACTTAT